TCTCTATTGTTTGCAAACAGCTTAGTTTTCAGCTTTTCTAATATATTCTACCCTTGGCGACTCAATATTTATGGGGTTGTCACCCCTTTCGTAGGGTCACAGCTCTAGACGTGGAAGGGGCTTTGCAGGCCCTCCATCTAGTTCAACCCTCATTTTACAGATGAAAAAACTGAGACCCAGGGGAGACAGGTGACTTGCCCAAGGTCACAAGGGTAGGATTTAGAGGGGAGATGTGAACTGTGGCCCTTTGTCACTAGGGCTAGCACTTTTTCTGTTAGAGCATGCAACCTGCCCTTGAGCAGAACATCCATGCATTCCTTCTATTTCTCAGAAGAAATATCAAACAGGTTTTCAAACCAAGTCTCACTTGTGTAAGGAAGAAAAGAAATGTCAAAATATAAATAAAAAACAGGTGACAGATGTTTGGAGGAAGTGCACTGGTCTTTTTAATAGAGAAAGTCTTTAGGGAAATCCTAAGGTTACAGATTAACAATAATATCTTGTTCCCCAGTTAGCAAAAGCAAAAGCACTTTGTTAATGGATAAAAAGGTCACCTACTAGCTACAGCTCCAAATTGGCTGACTTTAAAAGTAATTATTAATTATCTAAGTAGGGCTTGGGTAAGGTCTTGACATCATCTTTAGATATTAGGTTTCATTCAGCTACTAACTCTTGCCCTGCCAAATGTCACTGTTAGTTGGATTACTATTCTAAGAAAAGGCACACAATTACTTCCAGCGGCATGAATAGGGTGAAACAGAGGGAAATGGGATTAGAGATGACGACCCATGAGAGGAAAAAGACAAGAACAGGAACAACAGAAACAGGAACTGTTTAAAAATACATACCTGTCTGAAACAATTTTAATGAAGCCAGTCCTAAGGCAGGGGAGATGAACAGGTCAACTGTTTGATGGTTTCCCCTCCATTTCAGGCTTATTGTTAAAGCTCTAAATAGTATGATATAATATTTCACAGAATCTCATAAAAATGTCAGGTTCTAAAGCTGATTGTCTTCTGTACAAATGTCTTAAGTTAGGCTATTCCACTCTTTGATCTGTTTGTTAACTTCAATTAAATCAATTCAATTCAACAAACATTTATCAACCACCTACTCAGTGTAATACATGGTGCTAGGCCTTGGGAATACAAACACAAAAAATGAAAGAGGCCTTGCCCTGAAGGAGTTTAAATTCTAACCTATCTTAAGCTATGTCCCTTGGCCAAGTCCCTACACTTCGGTGAGTTTGTCTCTTGCTCTGTCAAACAGAAATAATAATCCTTGTTCTGCTTTCCCCACAGGGATATTATGGGGAAAGCACTTTAGACCAGCAAAATTTAATATCATTAATAATAATAACTAACATTTACACAACATGCCAAGCATCATGCTAAGAGCTTCACAATTATTATCTCATTTGAGCTTCACAACAACCTAAGAGGTGGGTGCTATTATTATCCTATTTTACTGACTAGTAAAACTGAGTCAAAGAACGATGGTCACATAGCTAGTAGGTGTCAGAGGGCTGGATTTTTAATTCAGGAGAGATTATGGGCCTTGTGAATAGTTTCGTGACCCAAAGAACAAACAAAAAAATCACCAGGAAAAATAAGGCATTTCCCCCTTCTTTTTCTCCCTGAGAAATTCCCTCCCCCATTACCAATACCCTAAACCACTTTCTTCTCTCAGCTCCAAAGTCACATCCACGTTTATTAAGCTGATCACTATAATGACAACTTACAAAACCAAACTACTTAATAGTAAAAAGAACAATAACAACAACACAACCCCCCCCCCAAAGAAAATAACCAGGTAGGTTGGGTTGTTGTTGTCTGTCCTTCATTCTCAAAAAGGACCATGACATCAGGGAAGTGATGCCATGACATGCAAGTGAACTGGATTTAAGTGAGAGGGCTGTGCAAAGTCACCAGCCTCAACTTCTTCTTCTCCAGAGCCATCTGGTTCCAGTGGTAAGATATAGATCAAGACAACTAGAGATGGCCCTGGATGCAGTGAACCTTGGTGACCAGAAGGACAGTGGTACCTCTGACAGAAATAAGTTCAGAAAAGGGGTCCGTTTGAAGAGAAAGATGAGTTATGCTTTGGATATGCTAATTGTGAGATGCCTGTGGGGCATTTTATTTGAAATATCCGACAAGCTCATTTGTGACTGATACTTAGGAGACCATAATTTGATATATAAATCTAGGAATCATTTGCATAGAGATGATAATGAAATCCATGGGAGCTAATGAGGTCACCAAGTAAGAGTCTAGAGAAAGAAGATCCAGGGCATAGTCTTGGGATGTACCTACAGTTAGGCAGTGTAACATGAATGAGCATCCATTAAAGGAGAACCAAGAAAGAACAGTATTATGAAAACCCAGAGTTCTTTGTTGCATACCTAGGCCTTTTAAAGCTAGTCGTTAAAAGTTCTCAGTTTGAATGAGGCAACACCCATTCAGTGATTAAGGCTAAGAAGTGAGGCAAAGAATGGCTCTTTTACCTAGTTAGGTTGGGACGTTAGTAGCCCGACATAGTGAAAACAAATAAAAAACCTCCTTCTTTAGTTCAACTGAAAATGCTTAGAAAGATTATTTCCTTCAATCTAAAATCCTTTCTAGACTTTTTCCTTTAGGAAAGTGGGTAGAGGCTCAAGAACAATAAGGTTCCAGGAAATGGATTGTGGGTGGAAAACAAACTTAGGACAAAAAATAGCTCTAGTCCAATTAAGATCATGACTTTCTCAGTCTCCAAGAGGGTATGTATAATGGCCCACTTAGGGGAAGTACCTTCTCAATTCAACAAGAATTAAGAGACTGATCACAAGGACAAAAAAGTCCTTTCAATCCTTGAGGAGAATGGGTAAAAGGAAGGAAGGGAGTAGTTGTAGTTGAAGATTAAGTAACTTGTTCTGGAATGTTGATTCCAAATCCATATTTTAATATAATATGACCCTTTCTTTGGAGATTCCTAAAAGGTTACCTCAAATTTTCTTGGGGTAGAGATGTCTGAATGTGGGATGATGTCAACTTGGACATTATTCTCTAAACTATAAATGCTTGGATTTGATGTTAAATCAATAAAAAAAAGTTTTTGTCAGACTTGCTCTAAAATGCAAAGTAGAATACTAATATTTTTCCTTCACCAAGCCTTTTGACTATATACATTTAGTTAGATCTGGGACTATAACCCATGTTTCCTGAGTCTTAGCCCAGTGCTTTTTCTACCCCAAAATATATCACTTTCCTTCTACATCAAATGCTTTTATTATAGGGATTAAGGGAAAATCCATCTTTCAAATGAGGTGTAAAGTTTAATGTGCTGTTATCTTAACGTAAGCAAAGTTCTTTTCACTTACTCATGAGTCACTACGCAGTAACTATCTAAGACTATTTTTACTTGGTACACTTTCATCCCTTATCTTAAAGTCTTTTAAAATAAGAAAAGTCATAGATGCCTATGTAAAGTACAAAGAATGAAGATGTTTCACTAGAGACACTTTTACATGGAATAAGTTATTTGATTTACTTAGAAAGGAGCTTGAATGCTTGAATTAATTAAACCTCCTATTCCAAATTTTAAGACATATTATTCTTCCTACTACTCCATCTTCACTTATTTTTATTTTAAATCAAAATTAGTCTTCTTCATCCCTGTCTTAACTATTAGGAAAAGGGGGGGGGAGTGGTGGGAAGAAGAGAAGATTCTTAAAAGAATGCAACATATTCTACTAGAGTGAAAAGATTTCTCTCTACAAGCATCTCAAAATCAGCAAATACTTTTTGCTACCAATACCAATGTCTTTGAAGAAGAGGAGTTGATAAAGATTTAACTCACTGCAAAGAGCTGTCAGGTTTTTTTTCAAATCTTTAACATAAATATTTGCTATAAAACAAGGCTCATAAAACTAGTAGAACACTTAAAACCAGTTGCAACCAGACCAAACCCTCAGAAAGAGCACATGATCCAATTATCTCGGTAAACATCCAAACCTTCCCTTTAGTAGCTCAAAGAGTTCAAATCAATTTTATAACCAAATTCAGGAGTGGGGAACCCGCAGCTTCGAGGTCCAAGCGGCCCTCCAAGGTCACTTAGTGGCCCTTAGATTGAATCTGAATTTTACTTGGACTCTGGCAAAAGGCCACACTCAAGGACTGAGAGGGCCACTCGTGGCTCGAGGCCGCCGGTTCCCCACCCCTGAATGCTATACAGCCCAGTGGATCTAGCTTTGGGTTGGCCAAAAAGTTGCAGCAGTAGATATGAATCTAGCTAGGGTAAAATTACAGAAAGAGGGGAGGGGGCAGGGAATAAACCTTTCCTACAGAAGTTACTTCCTACTTATGGAAAGAACACGAGTGACCAAAGATAATATACAACTCTTAAAACGGACCTAGGACGCAAAATGCAAGGAAATAACATTTTTTTAAACGAAGAGATAACGACCACCCCAGGAAATGGAGGGCAGTCCCATGCAGAATTGAGAGCAAAAGGGTTGGGGTCCGCCACTGCGAGGGTGCACGGGGAGGGTGAAGCGCTGAGTTCCTACGGGAGGTCCCCTGGGAGTGGGGAAGGAACCCCCCTCAACTCCCATTTCTTCTTTTTGCCACCCCATCTCTCCATCCCCTCTGAGTCTGGCAGAGTTTTAAAGGAGGGACAGGCGCAGGAAGCTGCAGAGAGTTAAAGAGCCGGTCTTGGAGAGGCTCCAGGTGGGAGCCGACGGAGCGTCCACGCCCCAACCGGACCCGGGCGCCGGGATTGCTCCCCCGTTCGGGGGGCACCTGGGAGGATGTAACCTTAGGGACTCGGGGGGGCGAGGCGAGGGGAACAGTAGGACACCGGGACGCTGGGAGAGGGGGGGAGAGCAAGGAGACACTCGGGAACCTCGGGAGGGAAAGGAGAAGGGACACCTGCACGGGGATTGGGGCAGGGGGCGAAGGGGGGGGTCTAAGGCCGCAGCAGCAGAGTAAGGGCGAGAGAAGTGTCGCTGGCTCACTCACCTGTAGCCAGCTCTAGCCTGCCAGTCAGTGCGCCCGAGACCCAAGCCGGTGCAGATCGCTCCTCCGCCCCTCCCGGCTCACGTCACTTCCGCCCCCGGAGCCCCGCCCTTCAGAAAAAAGAGGGAATACGCGGTGGGCCACGCGTGCCCGGCAGGTCTCCGGGCACTGCTTAGCAACTGTTACTACGCGGCACCTTTGTGGCTCGCGCGCGACGCCCTCCACCCCCTCCAAGCGTCGTTCTCGGGGCGCTGCTGTGGGCGTGGCCTCGCCCCTGTCCCTCCCAGGGGTGGGTCCAGGGCCAAGCCAGGGCGTTTTCCCTTCTCTTTCTAGCTACTGCCCCCCTCGACAGGTGGAACGGGCTGAGGTCACGGGAAGGGCAACGGGAGGAGGTGGTGGCTTCTGGAAACCAGGCCTGAGACTACAGCAAACATCCAAAGCCAGGAGCACCTGGTCTCCAACGCTTACCACCTTTGTCAATATGGGCAAGTTTCCTCCCTTCTCTGGATCCCAGTTTCCTCCACTGTCCAAGAACGGGGTTGCATGAAATGATTCCCGGGTTGCTTTCCAGCTCAAAAATACCGTGAACAAAGAGTCAGGACACAGTTTCCCACCCTATTGCGAGATACCAAAGGTCTTGGCTCAAGACAGGGAGAATGACGTAGTGGAAAGAGCTCTGACATTGGAGTCAGGAGAGCCTTCTCTTTGGCACCTGTGACCTTGTGGGCTCCTTTCCCCTTCCCTGGGCCTCAGTTTGCTCTTTGTGAAAAGAGGGGGTTGAAAAGAGCACTGGAATTGGGGCTCAGATGACCTGGGTTCAGTTCCAAACTCTTCTGCTTAAATAGGTCTTCCTGCCAGGTCCAGCCCTTTATTCACTATGCTATGCAGTGTCCTCTTCTTTCAAATGATGGTTTGGACTAGATGACAGCTGAACTCCCATCCAGCCCTTGTTTCTGACTATAATTCTGTCCTGGTGCTTGGCAAATGGAAAATCAAGGAAATAGTCTTCTCTCTCCCTTGATTTTGAGGGTATCCAGGGCTAAAACAAGTAGAGTTTTTAAGGATATTGTTAGGCTGTTCCCCAAAACAGTTCCATGTTATCCCACCCCTGTCCTAGACTCTTATTTTTCTCAGGCCTGGATTAGTGAAATTAAATTGGTTTTTTAGTCATGTCTGACTCCTAGTGACCCTATTTAGGGTTTTCTTGGCATAGATACTGGAGTGGTTTGTCATTTCCTTCTCCAGCTCATTTTACAGATGAGGAAACTGAGGTAAACAGGGTTAAGTGACTTGCCCAGGGTCACATTTCAAACTCAGGAAGATGAGTCTTTCCAACTTCAGGCCTGATGCTCTATCTACTGTACCACCTAGCTACTCTAATTAGTGAAAGTCTTTTAAAACTAACATTTTCCAGTTTTTCTCTCCATTCTAATCTATCCTGCACACAAACACCAGGATAATTTACCTGAGAATTATGTTTTAACTGCTTTTCTGTAACATTTGTAGCTCTCAAACACACACCCTTGGATGGACTGGCAAATGAAGTGCATTCACAGAAGGCTGACTGGGTTCTATAGGAATATATACTACTATATTTTACTATATTTTAGGCTTATCCTTTTTTACTCAGAACTGAACCACTCTGATGCAGTAGATATGAAGAACAGCCACAGTATGCAAGATGCCTTTGGGTTTTAGGCAAGGGTAAGTATAGATATAAATCATTTGGCAATTTTACCACCTTCCTACCTCATCAGCATACAGAAATACCTAAAGCAAGGAAAGGTTTCCCAGAATACCCATAACAGCTATACTTGTACTGCAGCTCCCCACTGCACAAAAGGCATATTTGGGTCAGTCTCTCCACTGCAAAACCAATTCTGCCTAAAGGCAATAGGGGTGTGGCCAGCATTCCATCTGTGATATGCGGCTCAAAGACCCCCCAAAGACCAGGTTCAACCCTGGATATTGGGTCAGTAAATTAAGGCTACTCACTGCAGTATTGTTTTATGTGGGCTCTTACATTTTAGCAACAGCAGACTTCTCCAAATGAGAGATTATAAGTAACTTAGTGTTTGCATTTGGGTAGAGGAAAGGGAGGAACCTCATATGTAAGACTTTATGTGTCCATAGGTCGTTTGTTGGAGAATGTTCTTTTGGGATGCAGTGTTTCTCCAAATCCAGAGGTGGGGGCAGGGAGGCAGCATCTTCCTATAAAATTGCTTCTCAGTTTTCCCTTTTTGTACAACAAAAGTTCCATCTTTGAGGTTTTTAGGACGCTGTCCCTTAGAGGTTGAGGGGCTGCTGGTGATTGGTAGGGAGATCAAGGTATTATCTGTTACTTCTGCTTCCAGTTCTGTGCTTAGGAGCTATGACCACAGTAATTGGTAGGGTCAATTAGATGTATGGGAATGTTTCTCAGTCTATTTGAGGTTAGTTACAAGGGAGAAGCAGAAGATTATTTCTATAATCCCAGGTGCTGTGGTGGAGGTTGGGACCAGATGGATATTGATCTGTGAAGTTATATTTGTTTCCAAACAGAAGATTGACTTTAGGGGCAAAAAGAAAAGAAATAAGAATCAATAAAAACTACATTAAGTTAATCTCTAGTTTTCCCAGCAATTTTTTGTCAAATAGAGTTTTTTTTTTTCTGGGACATTTGTGTTGGGGTTTATCACATGCATGTGTGTGTGTGTGTGTGTGTGTGTGTGTGTGTGTGTGTGTAGTAGATTGTGGCCAGTTGGGCTTTTTTTAAGTAATTAATTTATTTTTAGTGTAATGCAGAACATTATTTTGCCATTTAGGTAGTAGGGCCCTTTAATCCATGAAAAGCAAAAGTTGGTGCTTAATCTTGCCCCAGACCTCTTTCCTCCTAAATCTAAACAGTAGTGAAATGTACTCTTGCATAGCTCAGTACAGCCCATACCTCCAACACAAATGGATAAGACAGCTTGCAATATAATTGCTTTAGATAATTATGTTTATACCAGAGATCTGGACACCTAGTCTGGTTTGTGTGATCTCTGACCCGTAATGATGGGGTGCTTGGGTGCTTGTGCTTGTACTTGTGCCCCAATTTCTCCCTAGTCTCAGAAACACTGTCTCTGACAACCACTCCCCAGCCCAAGGACACTGTGCCTAGCAGTTATTCATGCATGGGCCTCAGCATGACCCTTATCTCTCTCCCTGGTACAGCTACACAGAGCTGGGCTGCTCAGGCCCCAGCCCTCAGATCATGTCTCTGGAAGCCTCCCAATTCCTCAGTAAGTTCCTGTGTTGTGTTGTGAGAAAGCTTTCCCTTGTTGCAGAGCATTCTCTAATCAGGACAGAGGGAGAGGGGTGTCCTTGACCAGCCCAAGAACTCTTCCTCCTGCCAGACTCCAAAGATCCATCCCCCTCCCTGTCCGGTATACTCCCTGTACTTTCCCATCCATAGCCCCCAAAGACACCTGCACCTTTGGATTACCTCATCAGTATTCCTGGCATTTCTTTCCCATGCTTTTTTCCATATAAACCCCACCTCGACCCCTGATTGGGGCTGCTTGATTTGGATGTGCATACCCCTGGCAGCTGTGTGCTAATAAAATCCACGTCTTAAATCACATCTGGGTCTCACTTGCTGATTTCTAGGTACAACATTAGTTTTCGACAATCACTTCCATACATTTATGAGTATAAATTATTAACTTTGGTAGTATTATCATTTTTATTATATTGGCATAACTCTGTGAAAAGCACTGAATATTCTTCCAAATATTTAAGTTATCCTTTATTTAAAGAACATTTTGTAATTGAATTTATTCAAGTTATGTTGTGTTTTGTCAGACTGATCCCCAGATATTTTGTGCATTTTGTAGTTTTTGGGAATGCTATTTCCCTTCTATTATTGCCTCTTGAATTTTGTTATTATGTAGAAATGCAATTGATTTTTGTGGGTTTTCTTTGTAAACTGCAATTTTGCTGAAGCTATCAGTTTCTCAATTAGTATCTTTGCTGATTCTCTAGGATTTTCTAAGTAAACTATCATGTCATCAGAAAATAGGGTTAGTTTCATCTCCTTTTTACCTATCTTTATACCTTAAATTTCTTTCTCTTACTACTATTGCTAGCATTTCTAAAACCATGTCAATAATAGTGGGGAAAGTGGGAAGCCTTTCTTTACTTCCGTATTTATGGGAAAAGCATTTACTGTACCTCAGTATGTTATAATCCTTGTTTTTGGCTTTAGGTAGATAATTTTTATGATATTAGAAAAAGCCCCTCTATGCCTGACGGGGTTTTGTTTATTTGTCTTTAGCATAAATGAATGTTCTAACCAAAATGACTAAAGGTTTATCAGTTTTGTTGGTCTTTTCAGAAAATCAGCTTTTCATTTTACTTATCATTTCTGTAGGTTTTTTTTTCTCTGATAAGGGTTTGAATATATAAAAATGAATATACATACATACATAAACATGCATGTATATATATGGATATGTACACGTGTGTGTGTTTATATACACAAAAGACCAAAAGCCATTCCCAAATAGATAAAGAGGCCAGAGGATATGAACAGGCAGTACTCAAAAAAAACCATATGAGAGTATGAAGCTAGATCCTGATTAGTGTGAATAATGAATTCCCTGAAATAGCTTTTATTAGCACTATTTTAAGTTAGTTATGGTAATTAATTCAAGCCTAATGGAAATATGCAGTGCCAATTCAAATAATGCAATTACTTCAAGGTAGTATTATTCACATTTGGATTTAGTAGTGTTCTGTCTAAATCACTATTAATACTAATAAAAGAAATACAAATCAAAACAAACCTGAAGTTTTTACCTCACGCTCTGCAAATTGGCAAAGACGTAAGAAAATGGGAATGGTAAATATTGGAAGGGTTGTGGGAAGGAAGATATGTAGACTGATGCATTGTTTGTGGAACTAGGAATATGTCCAACCATTTTGGAAAATAATTTGGAATTATGCAATTAAAGTTAATTTATACTTTTAATGCTATACAAATCAAATTGTCAAAGAAATACTTTCAGAACTTGATAAAATAATAATAATTCATTTGGAAAAATACAAGACCTACAATATCAAGAGAAATAATGAAAAGTAGTAGAGACAAAGGAGGAATACTGTTTCTAGATTACAAACTATACTATAAAGCAGCAGTCATCAAAACCATCTTGTGGTGGTTAAAACC